CCAAAGGAGTCTCAGAGCGGCTTACAAACTCCTTTCCCTCCCCCTCCCCACAACAGACACCCTGTCAGGTTGGTGGGGCTGAGAGAGCTCTGACAGAAACTGCTCTTTTTCCAGGACAGCTCTTATCAGAACTACGGCTTGCCCAAGGTGATCCAGCCAGGTGCAAGTGGAGGAGTGGGGGAATCAAACCCGGTTCTCCCAGATTAGAGTCCGCGCACTTAACCACTACACCAAACTGGCTCTTGAAGAGTGGCAAAAGCCACACCAGACTGTTATTACACATGGTCCAGTCCTTCCAGCAAGGTATAAGGACTTAATGAAGAAAGGATCACAGTGATAGGTGAAATTAATAGAAGAGGATGAGGGACAAAAATCAGTAAGGATCTGCCTAATGGCTCCAGGCTGCCAAGGGTTTCTGCATGACTGCTGTTTATAAGATATGGGCTTATACAGTTCTCAAAGGAACGCTGTAGGGACTTGTACAGTCCATTTTGTTTTTTGGATGTATGTGAGCAAAGAATGTGCATACGTTCCCCCTGCTGTACATAAAAGACAGATATAATTCAATAGGCTGATGAATCAGTGCTATGGCAGGATCATTTCACTGCATGTTTCAGAGGCCCCGGTCACACGGGCCGGATATCGCGGGGGGGGGGGGGGGCGGGGGGGGTTGTCCTAACTACCGCGTGACAGCCGGATCAAACGTCCCGCCCGACGTCCCGTGGTTGGGGGGAGGTGCCGATCATACCTCACTCCTGCAGCGCGGCAAAGAAGCGGCGCATCAGGGGTTGTGTTTTGTTTTTTTTAACCCAAATGTTCGCATGCGCCGTTGGGTGCTTGTGCGCACCCATGGAGACTTGACAAAAAAAAAAGTTTTCGCGACGGGACATGGGCGGGCACCGGATGCCACGAGCTAACACCGGAAACGTGATCTGACGCCTGCCCTTGCCCCGCGGTTTCCGGAAACTAGTACCTCGGAGGTACTAGTTTTTTATGGCGCATCTTCGGAGTGAAGCCTCGGGAGCTCTACGCTTCCAGATGTGGCGGTGAGATCGCGCCCAGAAAATCCGCCTATCTTCCGTCTCTCTAGCGTGCCTAATGCTCCGTGTGACCGGGGCCTGGATAGACTTTCCTCCCTGTGTACTATCAAGTTTGGAGAGTAAACAAGCTTTCAAAACCATGAAACAAAAGAGCCAGAATATAGAAAATGGGAGGGACTGACATTGAGCCACAATGACTCCCTGCACGTCATGTCATGTCCAAGTCGGGGAATTAAGTTACGAGCTGAGGCAGGTATTGTCTGCTCCAGTAAGGAAACCAATTCTCGAAGCCCTCCCTCTTTATACAGACTTTATTGTATTGTATATTCAAGGCTTCATCTTATCAGATTGTAGGGAGATGTTTCTTCCTGCCTTATCTTATGTAAGCATGGTGTGAAAACATAAATATGCAGTAAATCCTGAAATCAGGAATATTCTTCCTGCTAGTAAACCTACGTAACGATGAATTGTTGTGTATCAATATTATGCTTTCTATACAGTGTAGAGCACTTGCCTAAAAATGGTCATCTGAACATTTGTGATGCTGTAGTCAGGGCTATTTTTGGGCAGGAACACACAGGAACGGAGTTCCGGCTGGCTCCCAAGTTGGCCACACCCAGCAGGAACTCATTAGCATAATAGGCTGCACCCAACAGCAGAAACTCATTAGGATTGGCTACGTTAGGGGTGTGTGGCCTAACATGCAAAGGAGTTCCTGCTACAAAAAAAGCCCTGGGTTTGGATGACAAACAAGGTAAACAAAATAAGAAGCAAAAGGTGGGTGTGGCTGGATGAGCACACTTTTGGTAACATGGGGGTGTGGCCTAATATACCAATGAGCTGTGCTGTCAGGGGTGTGGCCTAATATGCTAATATGTTTCTGCTGTTGGGTGTGGCCTGTTATGCTAATGAGTTCCTGCTGGGCTTTTTCTACAAAAAAAGCCCTGCTCACAGATATATCTAGGCAAAAACTCTGGAAGGTGTGAGAATCTTGGTCTTGCCCTGCAATGACCCCTCTTTCTACCTCAACATCCAGGGGCGGATTAAGGCTCACGGGTGCCCTCAGCACTGACCCATCTTGGTGCCCCCCCTCCTTTCCACACTGATCCCCAGTCCATTTTAGTTGCTGACCTGTCTGACCAGATATACAATGCAGGTTGCAGCCATACAAAAATGTATTCATAGGATCACACACTATACTGTATAAACTAAGCTTTTCACCCTTTCCCCAACTTTGTGGTGCCCCCTTTGGCCCTGGTGCCCTAAGCACGTGCTTCATCTGCTTAATGGTCAATCTGCCCCTGTCAACATCTACACACGCTGGACAACAGACCTGCCTCACCCCAGGGCTAACACTCTCTACCTGGATCACTAATCCTGCCTCACCTTCCTCATTCCCACATTTACTTTACAAAAGCCACCCTGGCACCCACTGCTTTCTCACCTAACACAAACCAAATAGCAGGGCTGCTTTTTGATTAGAGAAGAAGAAGAGATGAGATTGGATTTATACCCCGCCCTTCACTTGGAGTCTCAGAGCGGCTTACAAACTCCTTTCCCTTCCCCTCCCCACAACAGACAGACACCCTGTGAGGTGGGTGGGGCTGAGAGAGCTCTTAACAGAAACTGCTCTTTTTCAAGGACAGCTGTGCCAGAGCTTGTGACTGACCCAAGGTCACATCAGCAGGTGCAAGTGGAGGAGTGGGGAATCAAACCCGGTTCTCCCAGATTAGAGTCCGCACACTTAACCACTGCACCAAACTGGCAGCAAACTGGCAGATAACCATTTGCCCTCTGAATCACCAGAGGAAGCAGTCAGAACGTCAGCACAAACCTTATTTTACATCAAGAATTCCTCCCAAGACGTTTCCCGTTCCCTTTGTCAATTCCTGGGAACCCCATTCAGTGTTCCCAAACCCATTGTTTTACTTTTAGTTAAACTTATCAACACTTTGTTCCAAGGGGCAGTCACATTAGCATGCTCTCAGGTCCATTTTTGCCGTACCTAGACAGCCTCAGCTCCATTGCTGTGTGTGTTATGTGTGTGTGTCTTGGGTGCCCATCGGCATCACACCCCCAGATACGTCTAGGTTCCTTCCATCTTTCACAACCTCTGCTCCATGGATCCCTGGTCTTCAGGACAGGTAGCTATCACCCCTAGGGTGGCCAGCCCCCTGGTGGGAACAAGGGAACCCACCCTCTTTTGAAGGCTCTTACTGGCTGGTGGGGGGGAATCCCACCCCCAACTGACCTTTTTGGGCCTAATTCCAGTTTCGGGCCTACTTCCGGTTAAGGAGACACTCTCTTTTTGGGGCAAAACTCTATGGTTTGAAGTCGAATTTACCATAAGAGTTTGTCCAAAACCCAGACTGTCATCCCCAACCAGACGTTGGCCCAGAAATCCTCAACATCACTTCCGGTCTCTCGTAAGGATGTTGGGAGACCCCATCTGGCCAGATAAATTGACCTGACAGCCCTAACCACCCCAATACCCCCCTATATTTCCTGCTAATTCCTTTATTTCCTAATTGGTCTTGCATATGTGTTATTTCTTGCATGCTTTTTGTATGTTAGCCTACTTATTTTCTATCAAATAAAAGCAATCTCTATTTTACCGTGGACTGGTTATTTCGAGAGTTTTCTAAAAGGAAAGATCCTTGTAAAGAGTGGTAGCTCATCTCGCTAGTTACTCCCCTCTCACAAGCCTTTGTCTCCTTCACTAAATCCCCCAACTAAAATAGGAGACAGCCCCCTTTTGGGGCAACACAGACCATTTGGGGTAATACTTGGGCCATTTACGTACTGGGTGCGTTCAGACGGCTCTTTAGATCCACGCGAGGCACGGGTGCCTCATGGATTTAAATGTAATGTCCAGACATCAACATCTGGGAAATGTCCATCTTCTGTGAGCATCCCATTTTGCCACGCCTCGGAGCCGTACTTAAAAGATACTACTTTAAATCTGGAGTTTTTGGTTCCGACAGGCCACTCGCGGACTTTCCCCCATCTGACCGTTTCAGCGTGCAATTAAAAATGGCACCCATTCGGGATGGTCTGACATCAGACCATCCCGAACGGGCGCTATTTTTAAAAAATCTTGATTCTGCGCATGCACGGATAAACAAGGTTGTTATATTATGCCTATGCGCATGTGCAAAAAGTTTTTAAAAAACCCACCGTGCATGCCTCCTTCAGTGGATGCTGTCTAGACAATCCACAGCGGAAGCAGCGCATGGTAAGGCGCAGGGGTCATTTCCTGCAGGAGCGCACAGGAGCGGAGCTCCAGCAGTAAAGAGACCAGGGGGCGGGCACATGCAAGAAGCCCCGCCCCTGCTCTCAGCAGCCCTCAGTCAGAGCAAGAAGCAGCCAGGTAAGTTGCAGAGCTCTCCCCGGCCCAAAACAGTCCAGCGGTACCTTTAAGACCAAGTTTTATTCAGGTACAAGCTCTCCCTCCTCTGCGAGGACAGATCCACACGTTCCCCCCCCCCATACCCAGCAATCCAAAACACTCCAGTGGAGCCTGAGTGGTGGGTGTTGCCTTCTGACACACTTCCGGTGATGTCAGGGGGCGTGGTATATGCAAATAGGTTATGCTAATGAGTTATGCTAATGTGCTCCTGTACCTCTTTTTCTACAAAATGACCCCTGGTAAGGCGATTCCTCTGGGGGATGTCTGGTCGTGTGAGGATGGATTTAAAAGATCCGAATCAAATTTGAGCCGGCATAATGGTGGGATTAGATGTTTGTCTGAACGTACCCACTGTTAGTCTAACCTAATTCACAGGATTATTGTAAAGATAAAATGGAAGAGAGGAAAACAATGTAAGAAACTTTGGGGCCTCAATGGGGAGAGAAATGGAGTATAAATAAAGTAAATAAGAAGAAGAATGAAGTTGGTGACCTGGTAACCCCATCTTGGTCTTGTACCATCTCTTCACTGTAATTATGGCACTAGTGCTGCATGGTCAAGCATTTGCTGGAAATGCATCTGCAAGATGGGTTTAATCACTTAAGATATACTATGGATGCTCACAGTACTGACACAGGGAATATCTCCAGACATTATTCAAATGAACAGGAGCCTCTTTTTGATGCTGGATGCTACACTTGCTAGATGGCAATATTTATCATTGCTTCCTTCTCTTGGATCTTTAATGTGCATACCACCGGTGAAAAATGAATGGTACTGTTTATTTTCCCATTCTGCAGCTATGTCTTTCTACCTTGGGAAAAGGCAGAGGGAAACAGCCCTCGTTTTCTCATGCTATGACAACCCTATGCAGATGTTTATCTGCTGCAGAATCATTGGCTCCCATCAATACCTGTATGATTATGCTGTGGGGGAGGAGCCACTCGGTTCACGCTGTTCTTTGATGAACCTTTCGTTTCGTACTGGAAAGGAATAGGAGCTGGCCCTTGAGGTGGCGGGAGGATAGATTGTCTCTGTTTTATCTTCTCTTGGTTTACCCTATAGAGAAAGCAACAACAAAACAAACAGCATCCGGTCAACATTATCGTGCTGGTTACCAGAAGATTCTGCTGACTAAAGTTGCCAACGAGAAGTAAATCAAAGGTGGTGGCCACTTGGGGATGGGCTTGCGTGGCTTCCTTGTCGCTGGTATGGCTTCCGAAAAAGGGCAGTGGCAATGGGGCTTCCACATGGCAGGTATCCCTGCCCCAGTCCCCCGGCAGCAGACACCCCCTCCCCTGAGCCACCAGGGCTTTCACAATAGGGTTTTTTAAAAAATGGTTCTAGAATGAGATCAGAGCCCCGCGGGACCTCCAGCAATTCCGCAGGGCCATGAAAATGGAACTTTTTCGTTGGGCGTTCCAGTAGGAAAGATCCTATATCGGCTGTGCTGCACTTGCACTTTATTATTCGACACTGCCACGTCTAAATGGTTTTAACTGTATTTATTTGATTGAAAATGAGCTGAGCTATTTTATTGAGTTGTATTTGATGTATGTACTTGTGCTGGTTTTATAATTGTCGTAAGCCGCCCTGAGCCGCTTCGGCGGGAGGAAATCTAACGAATAAATAGAAATCTAACGAATAAATAAATAAATATTTTCCCCCAGTGTGCCCCCTATCTGCGGAGATCTAAATCTGTGAATAAGGGCGGCATCGACAGAACACAGACTTTTCTCCAAACTGGAGGTAATCTCCAGGCTTGCAGGAAAATCCTTCAGTTACTAAAAGGGGGAAGTTACAAAGAAACCCGCCTAAAACAGAGAACAGGTGACAGCGCAAGAGCAAAAAACTGTTCTCTGAATGCAAGCACATGCGAGCAGGAGGGCGGGAGGGGAAGAGGGATGATCACACCTGTCAAGCCACCAACAGATGGTGCTAGCTCTCCCCCTCAGCCAAGTTTCAGGGAGGTGGAGAAGAAGAGACCCTGCTTGCCACCACCTGGGGGAGGGGAAGAGCAGGCTTGGTGGCTCACCCCCTCTCTGGGACAAACACATGCGGCTGCAGCAGAACCCCACTGCAGTTGCACTCCCCCACTGCAAAGCTCAGGCAAGTGGAGGAGGAGGAGGAGGAGCCGTTGCTGCCTCCAACTGCCCCCTTCCGTCAATGCAACAACGAATCTTATTTCCCCCCCTTCTCCCAGCTTTTCAGCAAAGAATACTACTCCTCTGGCTGAAAGCAAGCAGGGGAGGGGGAGGTCAGGAGCCAAATGTTTGGTCTGAGCCTGGGTTAGAATGGGGAGGGACGGCCAAGGGGTGGAAGAAAGGGGGCAGGAGTGACAGGGAAGAAGGGGTGGAGGAGACGGAAAGTGGAGAGACATAAGTGACTCAGGGCTCTTTTTGTAGCATAATAGGCAACACCCAACAGCAGGAACTCATTAGCATATTGGGCCACACCCCTGACAGCACAGCTCATTAGCACATTAGGCCACACCAGAGGTCATTTCGGGGGGGATCGCGGGGGATCGCAGTTCCCCCAGGTGAGGTACGGGGGGCAGGGCACATGACAAAGCCCCGCCCCCTGCTTCCGGCCGCCCCGCTTCCGGCCCTCATTTGCAAGGCCGGTGGCGGCGGCCGGGACCGTTGGGGGCGGTGTGTGTGGCCTTATGACACATTTCCGGTGATGTCAGGGGGTGTGGCATATGCTAATGAGTTATGCTAATGAGTTCCCCTAGCTCTTTTTCTACGAAACGACCCCTGGGCCACACCCACATGTTACCAGAAGTGTGGTCATCCAGCCACACCCACCTTTTGCTTGTTATTCTGTTTACTTTGTTTGTTGTCCAAACCCAGGGCCTTTTTTTGTAGCAGGAACTCCTTTGCATGCTAGGCCACACACCCCTAACGTAGCCAATCCTAACGAGTTCCTGCTGTTGGGTGTGGCCTATTATGCTAATGAGTTCCTGCTGGGCGTGGCCGACTCGGGAGCCAGCCGGAACTCCGTTCCTGTGCGTTCCTGCCCAAAAATAGCCCTGAGTGACATGGAGGAAGGGAGACAGAAAGTGAGTGACAGAGAAGAAGGGGTGGAGGGAGACAGAAAGTGGGGGGGGATGAGTGGCAGGGAAGATGAGATGATGGGAGACAGAAAGCGAAGGGGGCATGAATGAGAGGGAAGAAAGGGTGTAGGGAGACAGACGGTGGGGGCATGAGTGGCAGGGAAGAATGGGTGAAGGGGGCAGAAAGTGGAGGGGCATGAGTGAAAGAAAAGGAGTGGGGGAGAGGGGAGGAAGGAAAGGCAGGGTGAATGGGGTGCCCCCTTTCCGCAAGTTCCTTGTGGGTCCCCCCCCTTGTACTGATATAACATTATACCAATCTGTGTTCCAGGTTTTCTGAATTCCTATATTTCATTTTTTTAAAAAGAGGCCATATATGGCAGAGATGTGGTTTTATTGCAGAGATATGCATTTCCCCTTATATCTCCTCAACAAAAGGAGATATTTACTTTCTTAAAATGAAAACTGAGATACCAGAGAACCTGATTAGCAGAATGCTGTAACACTGGCATGATATTCAATTGCCAATTAAAAAACAACAGCAGTATGTATGGGGAAGGTTGGCTACTGCAGGGACAGGAGCAGTGAATATGAGAAGAAATCCTCCTATGCGGAAGCCCATAGGCAGGGGCGGATTAAGGCTCACCGTTGCCCTAAACACTGACCAATCTTGGCACCCCCCCTCCTTTCCACACTGACCCCCAGTCCATTTGAGCTGTTGACCTGTCTGACCAGATATACAGTGCAGGTTGCAGCAATACAAAAATTTAGGATAACGCAATATACTGTACAAACTAAGCCAAGCTTGGGCTACATAAAGTTCAACAAAAATGCAATACAGCATCTATTGTAATATTTCACAGGTTAAATGTATCAAAGTTCCAATATCCATGACCTGAAAGACATTTTTCTACATTTCATTTTGGCAAAATCACCGATAACATCCTCGAAATTAATACCTCTCAGAATGTCTGCTTCAATTGTTAATATACACAGCGAGTTGAGTCTTTCTTGAAGCATGACTGATCTGTTTGGATTTTTTACACATTTCAGTTGTGAAACCCTAGGGTGCCCCATTATCAATTTGCACTAGTTTTATCATTATTATCATTTTTTTACAAATCTTCGTTTTTTTCTCTTTTCACCCTTTTCCCAACATTCTGATGCGCCCTTTGGCCCTGGTGCCCTAAGCACGTGCTTAGTCTGCTTAATGGTTAATCCGCCCCTGCCCGTAGGTACTGTGCTGTGTCAGCAGCTGTAGCAGCAATGAAGAAACCACACAAGCTCATCTCCATGCAGAAAATACCTTTGATTTGCATTTTATTAGGGGTTTTTCAGGATTTGACAACTGCTAACTGCGGCACAGAACACTGAATAGTCCACAAGGAAGTTGAGCAGCTTAACATGATAAGCATGTCTGATTTTGCAGATACAGGCTCACAATAGACTCAAAATATGGCTTCAAACTCCTGAAGGGGGGAAAAATGGCTTGACCTGCTGCTATGCTACCAGGCATCCCATTTATATTTCACACTCAGTGCAGCCTTCACCGATTCCCAGGCGTCCACCTGTCCAGGCACCCCAGCTAGGTTGGCATTTCACAGTGAGCATAATGTCTGCATCAAGAAAAACTGAATCCTGCAGACTGTATAGATTAGGCCGTTTAAATGTGGATTTGCATTTCTGTGCATGTTGCATGAGCAGCGAGAAAGTTTGCAGCAGCACGACTAGGTTTATGTTATAATCCTAGGAAGAGCTACACCTTCTAAGTCCACTGAACTTATGATGACATGGTTAATACCCTTTGGGTGGCGGAATACTGGAAGCTTAGAGCCAAACTAAACAGCTGAGATGTGGGAAATCCATGATAAGATCTATAGAATAACACGAGCTGGAATAGAGCAGTAACAACGAGAGAGTGATATGGGCTCTTTTTGTAGCAGGAACTCCTTTGCATATTAGGTGACACCCCCCCCCAACGTAGCCAATCCTTCAAGAGCTTACAGTAGCCCCTGTGAGAAGAGCTCTGTAAGCTCTAAGAGGATTGGCTACATTAGGGGTGTGTCGCCTAATATG